GTGAGAACTGTCAGCCCTTTATCTAAATCTTACATTATGCATTTTTAAACATTTGAAGCCAAAAATAAAAACGTGCAATAGGGAGATTTAGTTCTCACATGTACATAATGTATCTTTTTAAATCACATAAATTTCTCAAACCCGCCCACAAGATGCCAGAATTTAAAAGATTTCTATCCTAACACTGTATATATATTTTGATCTTAACTTCAAAATAAACAAACCGCCCTACAAAAACAAAGAGCCCGAAGAATTGGACATTTTGAAACCAATTACCGAAAAGGATGTATAAAATGTTAGGAATATTATTTTCTCGTGTATTTAGAGAGGAACATAAGATATCTCATATCTAGACCACAGTTTGTTTAGATGTATAGAAGGGAGGAAGTATGGTTTCACATGTATTTATGTATATTCACCAAGGTCGAACAGCAATTTAATGAAGCATTTCATTTTTCTGTGATGTAACATACGATCGAGTTACAAATCCTTGGCCAAAAATATCAAAACTTCTCATCTGTATATGAAAGTTAAAGACGACTAATGGAAGGGTGTTAATTCTGGTGTTAAAGTACAGTACCCATAGACTTCAGTCAGTCGAGCAATTTATTCTCTACACAAATGTTTATGTAGTAGGTCTACTTGTGATAAACCTCAAAGGGCAACCAAGATCAAAAAATACATTAGACAAGATAAGAGAGAGAGAGAGGGAGGGAGGGATGGTTATGGTACACTTGATCTGCATGGGTGTAAGGGTCTTTAACAGAAATGAAATGAAATGGGGTTTAACGTCCTACTGTTTTGCTCCGAACTGGGCTAATGAAGACGGGCATACGCCATACAGTGTGCTATGAGGGAAATTTTGCCCGGACAGCGGCACTACGGCCTACTCTTATATCGAATTCCAACTGTCAAGGGATCTTTTACGTGCATGCCAATGTGTACACGGGACCTCGGTTTTTCGTCCCATCCGAACAACTAGACAGCTGTCCTTGTCAGCCCCTCCGGGTCTTTAACAGTCGGGGGAACCCGGAACCTGGAGTAGACCCATGAGGTATGGACTCCAATTCTCGCCACTTGACTCAATGACAGACCTTCTGTTCTAAAGCAGAGAGAGAGAGAGGAGGGTATGGGGTTTAACTTATACACACGTTCACTTTAAACTTGTTAATGTGCATACACCACATGGTGTGTTGGTATAAGACCACATGGTGTGTTGGTATTAGACCACATGTTATTATCAAAATATATTTATCATTGAAGTTCTACTTTTACTTTCTAATGATCAGAATGTAATGTTCTCACCAAGTGGTTTTCTAATACCAGTTTTCTAACTGTTTCAACATGCACACAGATACAAATACCAGAAATTGTAAAATACTGAATCTATGAGTTATTTGTTACCTAGTTGGGTTCGAATCCTGGTGATGACTAAAAAGAACTTTTTGAGATGTTGCTTGAAGTCTTCATTTGTCAAGGGTGGCATTTGCAAAGCTGAACAAGAAAAGTGTCTAGTTATTTGGATGGGACAAAAAATCAAGGTCTTCCTGTGTACATATCCACTTGCATTTAAGAGAAACCTTGACACATCTGTGTCATTGAGTTAAATGGTGTGGTTTCGATTCCCCGGCCGTACGTGGCAACGAATAGGGTCGCCTGTTCAACCTCGTGGGTTTTCTCCGGGTCCTCTGGTTTCCTCTCACTACTAAAGAACCATACGCACAAGAGAATTATTGAAAAAAAATTGAATCATATGTTAGTCCCGAAATGACCTAGTTTGTGTAGAGTGGACAATAAACCCCATTTCTCTCTCTTTTTCTCACCTTGACACATCAAAATTGAAGGAGAGTAGGGTGACACTTCTCCAACCTCACACGCCAGATGTAACCTTTGAAATAAAATTCACCATATACTTGTCTTAAAATAAACCTAAGAATTGGGTTGACGAGATTTAAACCCCAATCTCACATGCAAAAAAAACCCATGTTGTTCTAAATGCAAGATAAAGTGGAAGTCGGAAACTAACTTGATCCAATCTAACGACAGGTGTGCAAAACCTGCCATTTTAAAATATCATATCATTAAAATCATGTAAGAGAATCTCTCCCCGTCACAAAACATGTTTTTACAAACCCTCCGTAATATTTCTAGCGATGATTATTGACAAAACATTTCTCATGCTTGATGATAAAAACAGACGCTGGCGCCGCAAGTGCAGAACTGAAGACGTAACATTATAGCTGTAAAAGTTAACGTTTTGAAGGTAACTTGATCACTACGATGATAAGAAAGAGATTTGAAGCATTTGTTCTTTTAATTTAAAGAATCCGGTAGCCTTTACCTCACTACATCAACTCTCAACACTTCTACCAAAATATAAATAAAGTTTTACAAATCGGTTGATAGATTTACAACATGAGGATGGAAACTGTAAATAAATCAAAAACGTTTGATTAATAGGGTTAGACTAGAGTGCAGCTACAATGTATGTTTTTTAAACAGTCGACATTAAAAACATTTCGAACAAAAGTACATACGGCAGGGCCCCTGGGAAGAAAAAAAATGCGCTGGGGAGAGAACTTTTTTGTCCCCCCCCCCACTTTCAAACACTAGTCATAACTACTGTAGATGATTCAGTTGTACTGTATGTCCTGAGGAATCAAAAATCTATCTAAAAGGTCTGTGGACCATTTTGTCATACTGTCATAAGAGTTTGTGACATAGTATTAGAAAGCAGTCATATCATTTACCATGGGCCCCACAGACTTGTATGGGTCCTGGGGGCAGCGCAACCACTGCACCCCCCTCTCGTGAGGTCTGACATACGGTAGCTCATAATTGCATAAATTTGCTGATAGAATTTGTTTTCAGGATCATTTTAAACTAATAAGTTAATTTCATTAAAATTGACTAAAATGGCCAGGCCATAAAACATGCAATAAAGAAATGAAGCAAGCTATAAAACAAAATAAAACAACTAATAAATTAAATAACTTTACAATACAGTTAACATGCAAAATAAAAGAATATATTAATTAATAATTAAGTAAATTAAATTCAAAATTTAAATAAAAACTGACATATGAGTGATTGTTGCATTTTGAAAAAATTTGTCAAATATTTTGAAAGAATATTCAAGAATGAAGATCAATGCTTTCATATTTTTACCTATTTTGTCTATCCTTTTAATAGCAATTTTTTTTCAAAGATTACATAGTAGTAATGATAATAATTAGCGTCATCTCAATTTAGCTTTGTTCCTTGTGTAAATTCCTGTAAATTTACCTGTCCGTCAGATTGTTTAATTCAGTCTGAAAGAATCCTTTAGTAACCAGAATGAGACGTGTGTAACACTTTGGCCCTTGAAAAAATTTTGGGTCTTGAGGGTATAGTTATACGTAAAAAACAGTGATATTTTGGTCAAATTATAATCATTGTCAAAATAGTCATCAAATTCTGGCTGTTTATTGACCTATGGTTGTTAGACCAAATAAGGTAATATCTATCTCTGTTAGTGGTGGGAAATAAACAAGTTTATTACGTATTTTCAAATGAAAAGTACCAAGGACCTGCCGAAATGAGTCAGGTGTAAACTGAAGGGTTAAAGTGAGTTTTAACTAGACTTTCACCAGACCATTCCAAGATGCCATTATATATTTGAGAACGAGGAACCTGCAAAGTTATTTCCAGTTTACCAATAAAGCTGTGAAACTATTACTGCTGTAGTATTATTAACGATCACAAGGAAACACAACAAATAAAGAAGTCCATAGTACTACACGTGTGAGAATTTTTAGGCTTGTAACGCCAAACATGTCTACAAAGTTATGGTAAAAAGTAATGGTGAGATGTTGCATTTTTGAAATATTTAACAAGAATATTCATTCAGTAATTGCATTCCCTAGAATTGGTTCCTTAGCCACGGTGGCTAAGTGGGTAAGATGTTGGCTTGCTAGCCTGGAGGTCGCATGTTTGATCCCTGCATCAGCCGAAAAAGTTCTTTGTGGATTCCTCTTGTCAGTAGTGCAGGACGGAGGTCCTGACAAGGACAGCTGTCTAGTCGTTCGGATGGGATCATAAAAACGAGGACCCGTGCATACACTGGCATGCATGTAAAAGATACCTCGGCAACTGGAAGTCAATATAAAAGTAGGCCATAGTGCTACTGCCCATGCAAAATTTCCTTCATAATCATAGCACACTGTATGGCGTATACCCGTCTTCATAAGCCCCGTCGGAGCAGAACAGTAGGACTTTCAACCCCATTTCATTTCATTTGATTTTCCTGTGTATTTCCAGTTTATTTACTAAATACCATTGAAATAATTCAAGTATTTGGTTGTACGAGTCGACTGTGTGAATTCATTTAGTAACCCGAATGCGACTGGTATGAATATTTAGGTCTGTAATGATAGGATGATGTCACCGATCACATGTCATAACTTACAGAAATCCTTCTGTACATTGTAAATATTTTCCACATGAATTCACTTTATTCGGTTAAATAGCTAATTCTCTAAGTACCGTAACTAGACGAGGTGCTTCGTGTTGGTACTAAAAATCATGAAATGCATCAAAGAAATTACACAATTTCTACGCTTGATTTTATCATTTCGCCCATTGGACTGAGATCTGTTACTTCGGTCAAATTTTACGATAATCAAGATTGTGTATTCAGCTATAAATATTCTGAAAGAAGGTAATAAAATCAGTCATCTTATCCCTCGCATCGTTTAATATTCTGCTTTGAGAAAAAGTTCTCCTTATCTATAACACTGACAGAAACACATTAATAATAATATATTTTTTCTTTGGATTAAAAAAAAAAGCTGTCAAATCAAAAGGAGCAATGAAACAAAAAGAAACTAAAAAATGTGCAAAATAAAACGAAGCAATAAAAAAAAAAAACAGAAAGTGACATTAAAAAAATAAAATTCTGAACTGAAATCTTGTTTTGAGTGAATGAAGGATGAATGAATGAGTCATGCAGATGGACTTACCATGGAAAGGAGTTTCTACAAAAATAAAAATACAAGCAATCATTAGAAAAATAAAAGTGAATGAATAAATGAATGAATGGATGAATAAATCAATGATGAATGAATATTACAGCACAACAGTCAACCAATACCATGCAATTTAAAAGGGAAGACCAACGATGATTTTCAACAAGGTTTCCATAAATCTTAAATATAGTCCCCTCTGTAAAACAAGCAAAAACGTTTTTGTAAGTAAGAAATTAATTTTTATTAAAACTGGAAGTGACATAGTTGGTTCAACACGCTCACTGGTCTCTATAGTAAGCATATAAATTTAGCATAAGTTTACTGCTGAATTTTTGTTCAAGTGTCGTCGTTTGGCCCAAAATTCTGATAAGAGGGGATTATTCATCAAATATTTAAGATTTATGGAAATTTTGTTGAAAATCGTTGGTCTTCATCTTTAAAGATAAATAAACAAATAAATAGGCAGTTGGTTTCAAACACATATTAATTGGAAAACAAAAAAAACATTCAGGCTGCAAAGAAAAATATATTAGATACTTAAAAATAAAAACTATCCAAAGACTTTAAAAGCAACTTAATTTGCAGTCTACAAATTTTAGTGATGCCACCAAATTTCAAGACGATGAATTGATGATGGCTGTCGTTACAAGGGCAATGCATGAGTAATGAATGCACTGACATGCAAACGGCCGTCACAGTGGTTGACACTCTGTAATAATTACATGTACCTGTTTGATGTATTGTGAGCTATTTTAAGCAATAGAGACAGAGAGAAAGAAATGGGGTTAACATTTACTCAACACAAACTAGGTCATTTCAGGATTAACATATGGCTTGTGCGTAGGGGTCTTTAGCAGTGAGAGGAAACCGGAGGACCCAGAGAAAACCCACAAGGTTGGACTGGCGACCCTACTCCTTGTCACATACAACCAGGGAATCGAAACCTCACCAGTTGACTCAATGACAGACCTTACGATATAACGCACGCTCTAACCATTCAGGCATCCACACCCTCCCCACCCCATACCAGACTGAAAAAGCCGGAGTAATTTTCTCGCCCAATACTGTGATCAAACAATTGATCTCCTGTTGAGTGAGCCAAAAAATAAAACAACTTCATAAGGTCATCACAAATAAAGACCCTCAAAACTGTTCATTCATCATATAAGTGGGTATTTAGAAAGCTCGTAAAAATAAGCTTTCATAAGAAAATGACAAGGATCTATTATATATATCAGATGTCATAAAACTTGATATGAAGTAAACATGTAAACTTTGAAAGAATGACCACAGGCTAATCACTTGATATAAGTACTTCTGACTTGATCGTAAAATTAACACCATTCACTGATGAATATCACAGGATTATCATAAACCTGTAGTAGAGAGACAGAGAGAGAGAGAGAGGGAGGGAGGGAGGGAGAGAGGGAGGGAGGGTGTGTGTTTAATGTCCACTCGACACAAACTAGGTCATTTCAGAACTAACTTATGGTTCAATTTGATTTCAATAATTCACTTGCACGTATGGGTCTTTAGCAGTGGGAGGAAACCGGGGGACCCGGAGGAACCCCTCGAGATTGGACAGACAACCCTACTCTTTGTCAGTAGTAGGAAAGCTTCTTGATAGAAAACACTAAACTGGAGATCGAAATATCACCGGAAAAATATAGAAATAAATAGCAATATCTTTTTAAATAATTAATTAGATTTCTAGAACCTCTTGCATACCCATTTCCCATTGATGGATTTAGATTTAATACTAGCTTTCCTTTACTGTAGGAACCCCATTTAATAAAACTTTATACTTAACATACTTGTAAGCCCATACGTAAATATAAAATTATTTAAGGAAAAAAAAGAAAAGTAGTGTGAAGACTGACTGGTACGCTATTTTGAACAGTGTATTTCAAACTGAACTTTAGATTGAGTTTAACATTCACTTCATATAAGTACTCAAACTTGATCATAAAATTAACGCCATTCACTGACTTATATTCAGATTGATGTATCCACACAAATGTACTGGTAGTAGTGTGAAGTTGATTGAAGACTGAATAGTAAACTTTATAATAAAAGGTGTAGGCTAAAATAAACTTAACAAAGAAAGCAATGTGGTTTAACATCCCCATCTTCAATAGAAGGTTTGATCTCGCTTTAACTAGGTACATCTTATCAAGGCCTTCATGTAATACCCTGGATATTTCGGCACTAATTTCGATTGGGTATTCACCCAGCTTGTGAGCCTATCAGATTCCTCGATAATCGTGAATACCAGGTCTCGCGCTTTCCAGCTAAAATGTCTTCCTGTGTTAACTGAGTGATAAGTTCGTTCAATGTCAAGGTTTCCGTGGAGGTCCCTATAATTTATTTGATTGTCTTAGTGTCACAACTGTTGATTGGAAGCTACCGTTCATGTGTCTGCAGTAAAGAGAGAAAACGTAGCTATAAGTTTGGGAACTGCAAAGTAATCTACCAACGTCCAGATAACCGCAAGTCAGAGATGACAGGGCAGCTAGAGCGCCAAGCGCGAAACTCCAGACCACAAGGCCATTCCAACCTCGTCCCCCTAGTAATTCATGTCCGCGTCTTGTTACTTATAGACGGAGGAGGAGAATGAAATTCCATAGAAAACACACAAGGTCTAGACTGGGGTCACTAGTCATTGGCACTTACAAAACTAGAATGTTTAGGTGTCAATTTATTTTGAACATTACTTGATTTCATTGAAATATCAAATATTTCCTATAAGACACAAAAACTTATCTAATTCCATTATGGTACTTTTCTTTAAATTTGATAGACATTGAATAATGAATAACAAAAGTTCAATTCGAAGAGCCCCCCAAAAAAGAACACTTTTCTTTAGATTTGATAGACATTGAATAATGAATAACAAAAATTCAATTCGAATAGCTTCCAAAAAAGAACACTGGTATTGAAATATGTGTTACAATTAAATCTACAATGTATACCAATCTGCTCACTCAAGCCTTGTATGAAGTATGGTTAACTTTCCAGCTGTTAAATGAATTGAGATGATGAAGATAACAGTTAAGCTATAAACATATCTATGATCATTTTAAAATTATAAACTCGTTGAAGACTTGTCAAAGAAATTTACAAGAAATAAATGGCATAAAGATGACAATATTTCATTATCAATGTTCGCTGATCTCTACGCGCTCAATTTAACATGGATGTAAATTTTTGTCCAACAAAATACTTCAATGGACCGAATCATTCTCCATTAAATGTCTATAGGAGCTAGTTCTTTACAAGATGGTAGACTATACCTTCAAGAGATAAATTTTGTTTATAAACATTTTTCCCCTTCATTACCTTTTGCCCATCAAACAGATGTCAGTATTTATCAACCACTAAATGAGAGAGAGAAAAATTGGGTTTAAAGTCCACTTGACACATACTGTCATTTTGGGACTAACATATGGTTCAATTATATTTCAATAATTTGGGGGCCTTTTTGCAGTGGGAGGAAACCAGGGAAAAGTTGAATTTAACCAAGCATTTTCAGTAGGAACAGCATTATAATATGTATCAATCCTTTAGAGGAGTTTAGTAACGGGATAGAGCAATAAGCTACAACAGAGACTTAATTTATAATTGAAAACAAAATGAGAATACTCTTCGAAACGTCACACAAATAAATTAAATAATTGTTCATCCATAAGTCTGTGTTCTAGTTCATAATCTGTACACTAGTAGAATAACTCAAAGTCCCTCTCTTTTTTAAAACTTTGTCGCATGTTTTCCAGGTAAAAAATAAAAACAAAACTTTTACTAACCTGTATGAAATACTTTTCTTTCTCGGATCAAATTTCCTAACGTGTCAAAAAGTTGTTTATCCGAGGGAAGTTGAATATCTTGATAAGCACATTGTAATTTTTCACGGATTGTATCCAAAGTTGCTACAATTCTTTGATTGTTTAATTCCATTATTATATGACACAATGCGTCAGTTAATGGCACAGATTTTGTCTGTGGAACAACTTGCATTTCAATTCCGTTAACATCACCTGAAATAAGAAAATACAGACATTAGCATGATTTAAAAGTTGATTTTTTTATTATTCTAGTTTTGGTACTGTAGTGTAAATGTAAAAATACATAAAAAAAAACAAAACAGAAGCATCGCCACCGCTGCAATTTACGTCCAGATTCCTGCTTTGATTGATATTGTAGTTTCTAAAATGAAATATGAAATGGCTGCAACGATCATAATATGACAAGAGGCAATGACAAGAGGCAATAGCATTATAATATCAGTACTTGAAACCGCCTGATAATATCAATTCTTGAGGAGGCCTAGACATTTTTCTACAACTTCAAATTTTTCATTACTACTTTAATTCTACCTTTTACCATTTTCTCATGATTAGCCATTTGTCTGTTGTAATTTTATGATTGTTCCTCCGTTCACACATGGCGTAATGTTACCTTGCCCTGCACAAGTTAATGTTTACCAAGTTTCGTAAAGATTTAGTTTATGAGATAAGCTCCGGAAAAATAACATTAACAGAAGAAGGACCACGCTCATTTTAATATCCCTCTCATAACTTCGTTCGGTGCAGGCTAATAAAAATCAAATTTAATATGTTTGGGAGTAGTGTTATATAAATATTTGTTGGACAGACTGTGGAATCTGTCCTATTTCCATTAAGTGTTATTACAATGAATTAGGTACATGTGGACATGTGTTCAAGTTGGTGGAGATACTGTACCACATTGTGTTATTTCCTGTTAGAATATATATGATTTTATTTAACTTAAATAAATAAACTTCTTTAAAATATTAATATTTCACATATGTCACTTGCATAAATAAAATATGTATGTGGTATATTATTAAAGAGAAAAGGAAAAAAAAGGGGGTTTAAGGTCCAGATGACACAAGCTAGGTCATTTTGGGACTAACATATTTCATTAATTCTCTTGTGCGTAGGGGTCTTTAGCAGTAGGGGAAAACTCAAGGACCCGGAGAAAACCCATGAGGTTGGACAGGCGACCCTACTCCTTGGCACATACAAGCAGGGAATCGAAACCACATATTATTTCAGAACTATGTGTAATAAAGGCCTTGCCCGTTGTTCATTTTTTTTCAAATGAATAAAATATTGTTTAAACTAAACTAATAAAAAAGTATAACTAATAGCTATATGAATATTTTTTATAAACAAAATATTATTTGAAATTAAATCTATGAGTCGGCTATTAGGAGTAATAAGCTGAGTAGTGAGGTTGGATGGCCGAATGGTTAGCGTGTGCACGTTGTATCATAAGGTCTGTCCATGAGTGATCTGGCATGGTTGTGATTCCCCAATTGTACCTGACAAGGAGTAGGGTCGCCTGTCCAACCTTGTGGGTTTTCTCCAGGTTCTCCGTTTCCGTCCACTGCTAAAGACCCCTAAGCGCAAGCGGTTTATTGAAATAAAATCTAACCATATGTTAATCCCAAAATGACCTAGTTTGTGTCGAGTGGACGTTAATCCTCATCTCTATTTCTCTGGATATTTTTTTTTATAAACAAGAAACATTATTTGAAATTAAATCTATGAGTCTACTAGATGAAGTATTAAGCTGTGTATTAAAGTTATGTCAGAAAGACCTGATAGTGATTAACAATTCTATTTATATTCTGACAGTAAAAATAGTTTTTATTTTACACATACAACAGCTTGTTTTATCTGCTCTATCTATTCAAGGTACCTGGTATACATAGTCTTATACCTGCTGTATAGGTATCACATAATGTTTACATGTACAATTCCATAATGATGATGATGATGATGATGATGATGATGATGGAGAGAGAGAGAGAGAGAGAGAGTTTAACCTCCACTGACACAAACCAGGTCATTTTGGGACTAACACATGATTTAATTTTTTTTATTTCAATGATTTGCTTGCACATAGGGGTCTTAAGCAGTGGGAGCAAACCGGAGGACCCAGAGAAAACACACGAGGTTGATCAGGCGAACCCTACTCCTTGTCATGTACAACCGGGGAATGGAAACCATGCCAGTTGACTCAATGACAGACCTTATGATGATGAAAATGAAGTTTTCAATTGCTGGTGATCTGTAGCAAGAACAACCAGGAAAAGAATCTCTTATAGGAAATGAAATGGGGTTTATAATTTCTTACTTTTCTGTCTACATGTCAGCATTGAGTTTATTGGAGGACCTGACAAGGATATCGTCTAGTTGTTCGGATAGGACAAAAAAAATGAGGTCCCGTGTACACATTGGCGTGCATGTAAAATATAACTTGGCAGTTGGAATTTGATATAAGATAAGGCCTGAACCCCGCTGTCCGGGCAATTTCCCTCATACATGTAGCACACTTATTTCGAATTCCAACTGTCAAGGGTTCTTTTACGCTACTACTGAGAAGCGGAGAAAATTTTAAAATATAGCAGAAAAGATCAGTTTAAAAGATTGTTTACCATTTTTATATTGTTTGTATAATTCAAATATTGTTTGTATAATTCAAAGATTGTTTACCATTTTTATATTGTTTATATAATTCAAAGATTTGTTTCGTCGCACTGTGTATAATTTGTACATTCTGTTCATAATTCTCCATTACACCTGGAACTTATATCCATGTGCATCTGGAACAACTCAACAGACAAAATTCCTGGAGGTGTTACAGATCTAGATCAACCATCATATAACTCTACAAACAAAATTCCTGGAGGTGTTTCAAGTCTATGACAACTCAACAGACAAACTGTTACAGTTCTATATGAACCAACATCTAAATCCAATTTAACAATTCAGCTTTTTAAATCCAAGCACAAATATCATGTAAATGATATATCATATAATTTAAGGAGTTATTGTCACAGACACTTTGATCTTTAAAATAATCACTGATGTATCTTGAGCTGTCTATTTAGAGAACGTCCATTACACTTGAATTCTCTTATATTACTTATATCATTAAAAAAATCGATATTCTTGGAATTATTTGTAAATTAATAAATATTCTGATGTTCAACCACATTAAATCCACATAAATATTAAACTATTTTCCTCTGTTCTTGAAAGAGTTTGTTCACATCCACTAATCAACACTGTATTGTATAGCACATCCACAGAACTCTATAAAAACTTTTATTTTTAAATCTGTGAGTACAAGTTTAAAACTGATCATGTCAAAAAGATGTCAATCTGAAAACTGACCATTGACTAATACTCAGCTACACCCAAAGACAAAACACTGAGAAAAGATTGAGTATTGAACTTTAAGTTAATCAGTTAGAACTACATTAACATTGACCACTGCATTAATTAATTTCACAGGATTATGGCAGTCCGATCCAAAATGAAAATATAATTTTAAGTCCTGGTTAGATATTACTCAAGTTTTAAAATCTTCCTTTAAAAATAAAAAAACACAATTTCTCTTCTTTCGAACTTGAAAATCTGGTCAATCTTACAGGATTATCAAAATGGGATCTTAAGTTCTGGTCAGATATGTACTTGACCACTTCAATCAACAACACAGCACATTGTTTTAATAAATGTTCTGAGAAGTTCTTGCTACAATCTTGCCCTGGATAACCAACAAAACAATTAATAACTACCAATAAGCTGGACTGGTTAATTAATGACCCCTGCCTGTGACTAGTCACATCTTCTAACCATTGGTCAGTCACTGGTTTGCACTAGCCACTTAAAAACAAAGAAATCTTTTTGAAAAGTGTACAAGGAGGACTGTCTAATTACCCCTACCTACCGCCAGTCACATCATTTTATCTGTAATTGGTTTAAACTGTCACTTGTCAACAAGCCTAAAACAGTGTTTCTATTGTGTGTATTGTTAGTTATAAATACATCTGTGGTATAATTGTCACATGTTTAATGACCAAAGTGGTTAATTATCTCTTAATCAAATCACTTTTAAACAGATTACAGCCTTTTAACATACCTTTTAACACTAAGAATAAACTTATCTATTTTAGCTTTTAAAGTGATTATTCTCTAGATTATCCTGCATATCTGTTAAAGGGACAATAACACTCTTGCTGGCTTGACAGCTCCAGAAATTAAAAAATAGCCTTATTCTAAGTACTAGATGTGTTAGTGTCCTACCTGTTGTGTAAATTATCCATTACATACTATTTTACTTGTCCAAAGGGTTCAAAAACATTTTTAAATCCAAGTCACATTTGAAAAGATTTACGTCAAGCTTTTCAAATCATTTAGTTGAATTTTTCCAATTTTTAAATTAGGTGTGTTAAGATGAAATTTGTATCATCAATTAATTGGAATATTGTAAAATAGTACAATTTGTTGACCAGAATAAAGATTGGGACATATTATTCAGTTACATAACTTACAACAAGAGTGGTATTGAGCCTTTAAAATGGTTGTCTTTATTGAACCTCTATAGATCAACTACCAAAACATATGTTTTTTTATTAAATAAAGGGAAGAGCGTGAGAGAAATGGGGTTTAACGTCCACTCGACACAACCTAGGTCATTTCGAGACTAACAGATAGTTCAATATTATTTCAATAATTCAATGTGCTTAAGGGTCTTTAGCAGTGGAAGGAAACTACTAGTTCAATATTGCCTGACATTGTTATTTTTAGGCCCTGTATAGAAATAAAAATGAAATGGGGTTTAACGTCCTACTGTTCTGCTCTGACTGGCCGAATGAAGATGGTGGCTTGAACAGACCCTACAATAAGGAAGTCACAAAAGATTATCTTATTTTAAATGCTCCCAACAACAATACTTTGTATCATCTCAGATGTCTCCAATGATTAATGATTCAAACATTCAAGTGTACTGGGCACTTTTCAGTGATACATTTACTCAAAACGTTAGCAGGCCAAGTGGACCATATCATTTTGCTTATTATTAATTCGTGGTTGTCAAAATCTGAAACTTGACAATGCTATAATAACATAACAGAGTGTTTCATCTATTGGTAAATTGTTACTTAATGAGAATGAGAGAGAGAGAGAGAGATAAAGAGAGAGAGAGAGAGAGAAAGTGTGTG